CGTAAGTTTTTTTTTTTAAGTAATACACTCCTAAGACTAAAAGATAATAACACATTTAAAACTAACACACTCGTAAGTTTTTTTTTTTAAGTAATACACTCCTAAGACTAAAAGATAATAACACATTTAAAACTAACACACTCGTAAGACTGTAAGGTAATAACAATACTCTTTAAAACTAACACACTCGTAAAACTAAAAGGTAATAACAATACTCTTTAAAGATTAAAGTTTTAAGAGTACTTACGGTATCCCAGTCCTTTTTAAAAATAACACCTGGAAAGCTTTTTAGGCTACAGATAAAAAATACTAAAAATATTCTTTCAGTTTAAAATATATTTGTAGTACTTTATAAAGATTAAAGGGTACTTACAGTATCCCAGCCCTTTTACAAAAAGAAGTAGATTTTGTGCAAGATTTTCAGGCTAAAAAAATAGAAATAAGAACAATATAGTAATGAAATGGGAATACTTTTTGTTGGTGTGTTATTTTTAATTTCTTGTTGATGAATGTCATCTTTCACTGTTCAGAATACCATAATGTGTAAAATGTTACATGTAAATGTGCAATCTTTACTTATACCTAAAGTAATCAGAATCTGACTTTAGTCATACATGAAATGATACAGATGCACAAAACTTTTTCATTCAATTAGCTTCTAAAGAGATTTTCAGAAGATGTTTCGTGGAAGAATAAATACAAAAACTCATAAACAATATTCATGTCAATCCTGTTTCTCCCCTCCTCGGTGTGACAGCGATAAGTTTACGGACTTACAACACTAAAATCCGGGATTTGATTCCCCGTGACGGACACAGCAAATAGCTCAATGCGGCTTTGCTCTAAAACAAATAAACTAATTCCCCATGACTTTTTCTAAACGCTTTTAGTTATCCATTAACAGTGCTATATGGGATCCAGAATTGTTGTGGATATTTTATAAATCTAAAGGCGGAAACACTATAGCTAATTCTAAGACTTCTGCTCTTGCTTTATGAACTGATACTTGACTGATATGTTAACTACAAGCCCGATATAAAACAGTAGCCTCAATAACATTTAAGCTCTTATCTTTCAAAACTCATAATTTCCTCACATTCGTCAGCACGTATCCGGTTCCTTTTTTCTTGAAATTATACACTGCCTAATAACTACAAATGGGAGTTCAAAAATATTACCGTATTTTTCGGTGTATAAGACGCACTTTTTTACCCCAAAATTTTATGTCAAAATCTGCCTGCGTCCTATACACCAAAGGTATGAAGAATATATATATATAAATATATACGATATACACAAGCCGTGTGTAAATATATTTAAATAGGCATGCATAGTTTAGTTCAATCGAATGTGTTATTTATAACAATAGTATTTTTTTTCTTTTAAAAACATAACTATTTATAATGCTCCCTAAATAATAAAAAAATAAATTATAGTAATGGATGAGAGGGAAAGAGCTTGTAAATACACGACGATCCCTGTTTAATGTGGAGAAGAATAAGGCCGTTTCAGGCCTAACTTTAACGAATAAAAAATCGTTTTTGAGTGCTTGCCTTGGATTCAAATGTGCAATGCGCTTGACCAATCAGAGCGCTTAATGCAATTAGCGTCGGTAATCGCCTAATCGGTATTTAAATTTTCATTTGATACTCGGCAGTCTGGCACGTGCTTACTGTCAAGTTGGATGCGTCACCGAAAGCCGAAGTACCGTATCTTAGGCCTCGGAAGCAAAATAGTTGTTTCTTCATTTTCGTTCTATTTTTTCACCCCTTACGATGTCTATAGAAAATAGACTGTCATACACAGCTAAATTTAAATTAATTGTGATGAATTATGCAAAAGAGCATGGGAACAGAGCTGCTGAAAGATATTTTAGTCCTTCACCAACAGAAAAAATTATTCGTTGCTGGCGCGAACAAGAAGAAGAATTGAAAATGATTAAATGTGATAAACGCAATTTCCGAGGAAAAAAAAACAAAATGGCAAGATCTCTAAAATAAACTGTACGAATGGGTTGTGGATCAGAGAAGACAAGGACTATCCGTTTCTACAAATATGAGAATTTTTAAAGCAAAGAGGATTGCATGTGATTATAGTTTAGAAGATTTTACTGGTCATACATCTTGGTGTTATCGGTTCATGAAACGCAAAGGCCTAGTTATGAGACCTAAAACGAAAATTGCTCAAAGAATGCCCGATGAGTTTGAGATGAAAATTTGTGCTTTTCAAAAGTATATTATACAGTTAAGAAAAAAAAAACTCCATTTGAATTGTCTCAAATAGCAAACATGGATGAAACACCTTTAACATTTGATGTTCCAACCAATAGAACAACGGATATAAAAGGTACTAAAACTATTACTGTTAAGACTACTGGACACGAAAAAACGCATTATACATGGTGCTAGCATGTTGTGCAGATGGAATAAAATTACCACCAATGTTAATTTTTAAAAGAAAAACAGTGCCCAAAGAAAATGTATCCAGTGGTGTCTGCGTTCACGTACATGAAAAAGGAAGGATGGATGAAGACAAAACACTACTTTGGTTTGAAAAATTTGGTCGAAACGTCCAGGAGGCTTATTAAAAAAGCCTTCTCTTCTTGTCTGGGATTCTTTTAGAGCTCATGAAACGGTAAAAATAAAGGAAAAAGCTAATGAGCTAAAAACACAGCTGGATGTTATACCC